TTAGCAATTTATATTTATTTGAATATATGCCCAATATATTGTGCTGATTATAATATCCTCGATACATCAACTTACACTGTTGACAAAATCAGTAGCACAGTAGCAATTATAAAATATTGCATGTCATTGGATAAATACCAACTCCAAATCATGCACTGTAAGAAAACAGAAAATTTTAAATAAAATTTTAATATTCTTTAAGCAATATTGAACTAATTATAACTATTTTAAATATATTTATATACCATCGAATCTAGATCGAACAGATTATTTATGTATAAAAAATTTCTCCACCAATATTTCGTACAAATTTCGTGAGATCTATAATTTGGATAAAATTGTGAATTTTTGTCGTACCAAGCCGAATTTAATTGCAGTATTCCTATCATCATCATGTACGCAGGTGTCAATCTTAAAATAAATTGTTTTGACATACAAATATGTATATACATAAAAAGAGATAATATTATTATGTAGAATTTTATTTCTAAATTGTTTTTATATGCATTGTTCTTGTTTATTGCCTGTATAAATAAGCGAGAGAAACGTACCGAATAAATCTTTTTAATATATGAATAAAGAATTCATTTAATTTTGCTTTGTAATTAATCGATGTGGTTTTTTCTTTGTCCATCTTATCCTTCAAATATAAATAGGCTATTAAAAACCCGCTTGAAAATAAGAAGGTATCTGTTGGTATGATTATGTTGCTTAATACTTGAATAGAGAAATCCATGGTAAATCTCCATAATAATGCTTTATTGTCTATATATACAAAATCATTTCTGTTATATGTAAAAAAGAAAAACGTATATATGTATTAATTCTATAAGTCTTTTTCGAATTACTCACCGACATAATTCAACATGAAGAATATGGCATGAAGAAGAACTATCCAACTCATACTCAGAAATTTTAAACCGTGAATAGTAGGTATTGCGTTAGCATCTAATTTCGTGCTGAATATTATTTTCGTATTTGTGTATACAGAAAAACACATCAGTATTTTCCCAATTCTATTTTCTCGATG